ATGCGTATACGATCTAAAGCACTGTCGTTGGATCTGAGACCCTATCGCGAACAGCATCCGGACCACACCCTCGCATTGGAAAAATACTGAAATGAAACCAGATCCAATCTCCATTCAGAGGAGGAATGTTCAGAAGTCATTTGGCGGATTTCACGCTCCGTTGGTTCTGATTAGAGGCGTTCGATTTGTTTGTTTGATCCGATCATGCCAACAATTAAATTCAATGAAATTTAATTTCGCAATTGAATTTCATTTTCAGCATACTTGCGAATTACTCGAGCGTTCAGACTTGGCTAAGTATTTGTCTCCCTCTCACTTTTCCCTTTCGCCTCCTGTTTTCCGATTTTCACTAGCCCACTAAAAGCCAATATACAATCTATTGGCCTTTCCTTGTTTATCGGCATTTTGCTTAAGTATTGAAATTGGTCATGGGAAATTTTAGTGGATATAGCTTTTCTAATTGCATGATTTATTCTAATAGCTGACTTCAGAATTATAATAAATAGTGTTTAAATTGCAGATACGATAGAAAGTTTCCTCGGATAATGAGAATCGAAGAAGTACGAAATATAATACTAATGATCTCAGCAGGATATTTAACTTAATGGACTATTAAAAAACCCACTAAATAATAAATCAACAATCCTACAAACTGCCGTTAAGGTCAGTGCCCTGTGTCTTTAGTTTGACAACAGGTTCCTTGAGCAGAAGGAACCCATCTATAAGTCGTATAAACAATACAATTTTGAGTTGGTTTGGTTTCCGCTACTCATGTTCATGCCCCATTGACTTACACTCGAGTCGATCGATCGAAATGAAGGGGATTGGGGAAGACGATGATGATGGCCAAGGGGCGAGGCCGATTTCCACAGCTTGTCCGTACTCGTTTCATTGCCGATCATTCGGGTTTGAGGTTTACGATATTCTATTTAACGGCTCATCGGGTATTCGAGCATAGATCGCCTATGGATCATGCCCCCAGGAGGGGATCTCGAGTTTTCCTTTGTTCTCAGCCCGCTGCAATCTTAATGTGCGGCTTAGGTGAATGACTAACGGCCAGCTAAACTATGACTAACTGGTCTCAGGTCGAGGTTTGCTTGAACAGTTCAGGTGTTATAGAAGGGAAATGGTATGGCATATTCATTTGAACTAATTTGTCGAATCTAAGCCACACCGTATATGGAAAATAAATTATTTTATTTGGTACCTCTGATCTTGAAAACGGGATTTCGCAGTAACACTTTGTGGTCACTGTCACTTATTTGGAAGTGTTAATTTAAAATCTACCAAATTCGAGATATGTGAGTCACCGAACCAGATTGTTTATAAACAACAATTTATTTATCCTCCGATTTCATTATAATTTACAAGACTTTATAATTATATTATAATTTGTTTTATTTATTAATAGTTTTATCTGGCCGCTTAACCAAGTTTCAAATCAACCCAAGATCATATTTTCAGCACAATTAGAGCATATTAAGTGTGGCAAGAGTGAGTGAGAGGTGTGGAGGGCGAGACAAGGAGGGAGAACGTACTTCTTGTTACTTTTTTCTTCTGCTTTGAGAATATATAGTAAATTAACGCCACAATTAACAGAAACGAGTTTTCGAGTTAAGGGGAGAAAACAGAATGAAGTGAGGAATCTGGCCATGGATGATCTTTCGCATTGTTATGAGTTATTGGGTGGAAAAGGGGGAAAAATGGGAGAAATAAGCAAGGGGACTGATTGGAGTGGCAAAGCAGCTTTATTGAACAACACAGTTCTTCAAGTATTTATGCTGGACCCCCGCTGAAGTGGCAAGTTCGGTTCTTTTTGGATTTGTTTTGAAAGAAGGGGATCGAAAACCCAGCGAGGCGATGGAATCGACTGAAATAGTCTGAAAACAACAGAAATGGAGTGGAGGAGAAGTAGAAGTAGAAAATGTAAATTTGTATGCCACATCGATGATGACTTCAATTTTCCAAACGAAACTTGAAAGTCTTTGTGAGCACATGAGGAATACACAGTGGCTAACTTGTTTTTGCTTTTGGATCTTCTATTCTGTAGAGTCAAAAAATTGGTAAAGTAATCCAAGCCCAAGTTTAGGTTGTTACCATCAAGTTGATGTGTTATTGTTAAGTTTGCTATGATTGTGGCTATGAGTTGACTTTTATATACGTTTTTTTCTGGCTTTTTCGCCTCTAGCTTGATGTGGTTGTGGTTTTCCAGTTTTCAGTTTCTTGTTCGGGTTTTGGTTTTACTTTTATTACTATTCCACTTACGAGCTGTATGGCATTGAAGTGTTGCATTACCCCGGACTTTAGGCAAATTCTGTCTTCGCTAAATTCGCAATCGCTGGCGTCACTTTTTTGGCCTACAAAGTTATGTGACAAATTTTCCATAAATACATTTGGCCGGCGGGCGAGAGAGTTCAGTAACCCCCCATCTGAACTGACCTATTTGCGGCGATTGCCAAGCGGGAAAAGTGAGCGAGAAAGTGAGCCATAACATCCCGGAAAGCGGAGTCAAATTGGGAAAAGACTTGATGGTTTTCCTTGAAAATCGAATTTATAATGCTCTTCTGGATGTATCGTTTTTTATAGATTTATAATTAAAAATTCCTATAGAGTACAAAGTATTTTATAATACGATCACATAATAAATAAATAATTTAAGTTTAAAATAATAAATATTTCTAATGTCAATAATAAAGTCCATTTACCCTTTAAAAAAAAAACGTAAACAGAAGTATCTTTCGCAAAGCACACAATTATTTCTTTCGTTCACTTATTATTGTATGGATACATTTATGGGAGTGCAAAGTTTTCTTTCACATTAGCATTTTTGTTTATTTTTGGGGTGTTCGGACAAAATGTTATTTCTCCTGATGAGTGAGTGAATTTTATTATTTTCTGCCATTTTTAGAAATTTTCGAATATATTCCAGCCCACAATTTGGCATATTTGAATTTTAACTATGTTCTTATGCGGTGAACCAATCTAATTTAGGGAAAACGAATCAAATGACAAACGATTTTCAATTAGGATTCATAGAAACAGACGGAAAAGCTAACCAATTTGAGTGCATAAAATTAATGGCAACAGGCCGCGATTAAAGCGTTCCAAAACCAGTTTAGAATTCAAGCTCGGATAATTTATTCATGGATTCATCATTCGATGCATTGTTCGATAAACCAAATACAAACTTTTACTTTTCATCATTGTTTCGGGCCCATTGTGAGTGCTCATCTACGAAGACCCTCGAAGAGATCTCCCCCTGCAATTAATCTTGGCCAGCCCCAAACCATCCAATTAGATAACCCCGGGCCTACTCACGTGTGGGGGCAGTGAAAGTTTACGGCTCGTTCTAAGCCACTGGGCCAGTCCGGAGTCCGAAATCTGAAATCCGGAATACGGAGCCTCAGACGATCGCAATTTGCATAAAACACTCATCTAATAAAAGCCCTATGCAGTGGGCAGTCGGTCGAGTGCTCGATCTCAAATGGTATCGCATCGTACGTGGAAATGCGTAGAAATCAGATCATGTTTTTTATAGCCATAGGTACCTTTTCGGCGATTGATGATGATGATAGGGCTCGCCGTCTTTGTATGGGCAGAGTTTCACTACCGACGAACGATTTTATTTTCAAGATTGAATCGGAAATGGTAAAGTGCATCACGACTCCAGTGAAAACTGTTTCGTTGCTGTCTTTTTTAACTTGATTAGGTTTATGTTCAGAGACTCTAAAACGTTAGATTTGGATAATCATATCATCTATTTGATCATTTAAGAAGCTTTTCCTAACTGCCTGGTCTTGAGTATAACAAATTTTTAAGTATTACAGTTTTTAAATAGTTTCTGGCTAAAAACTTAGAACATATCAAGTCCCCAACATAATTTTTGCCTCGCTAACTCTGTTATTTGGAGGTTATTTAATTGCAGACTTACTGCAGGCGAGTCTTACTTTCGCACAAAGCTCTGACCTCACCCCTCACCGAGTTTGCCGCTCATCGACATTTTCGCCGGGCCATTTCTATGCAAATCAGCTGAGAACACGCACACTTCGGTTGGGGGCCAACAGGAGGTGGCGGTCGGGATGGCCTCATATACTTATAATGGGGCACCGGCTTTCAATACACCGCATGATATGCGATATGGATATGCAAATTCAAAGGGGTAAGGGTGGCCAAGGGGGCCAAGGGACTTTGAAGGGAAGGCCTAGCCCAATGTGCGAATTCCTTTGGCCACGGGCTTGGCAGGAACGTGACAAAATGAAGTCTGTTTTCGGTATTCAAGCCTTACGTAATGCGCCTGTTTGGGTCTTTAGTTCTGAGCCATTGTAGTGTTCGTAGTGCCCGAGGATAATCAAGATTTACGGTCGACTTTCGCCGTTATCATCGACCAATGGGGCTGGGAAATCCAGGAGACGTCTACGGATGGCAGATTGTGCCGGAGTTCACGCTCCCTTTTTGGGTCATTGACCGCCCAATGTGTTGATTGATTCAAATGCAGGAGATTTTCGGACTGCACAGAAGGAAAAAACGTAAATAATATACGTAAAGATCAGCTTGAGTGTCAAGTTATATAGTTAATTTAATGCGAACTGAACTTATAAATTAATCATATCATACACACATCAAATTGTTACGTCGTTTAATTTACATTTTAAATTGATAAAAAGATTATAGGAAATGTGAAAAACGATATTGATAAATATAAATAATAATAAAATAACATAATAATAACTAACCTATTTGATTTGACAAATATTGATTAATTTTTTGTGTACTGTTTTCGAGCAAGTTCCTATAGACATGTGGCAATAGATCATGGTGTGCTTTTGATGAACATGAACTTGATGAGTTCATAAATAGCTTACAGTTCTTGGGGATACACATGCCCCACACATGTGTCCCTCGAATCCAGCTGATCCAACCTTGGAACTCACACATTTCGATTGCATCACAGCGCCCTCGAGTGAACCATTTACTCAATCTGTTTTCGTTCTTCTTTTCAGACCACCAACAAAAGAAGTTCGAACAATGTAACGACAACTTAAACGATCTAAACACAATCGAAAGGCGTAAAATTATTGTATTGCCCAAAAATAAAATTGAACAGACCTCAAAAGCACTCCAGCGAAATCAGGTGAGTTGGGCAATGATTTGGAATTGCTTCATTGGTTGGGAAACGGTCTGAGATAAATAGCGGAGCATAATCATAATTCGCTTTGATCTGGATTTATTTTCTGTCTAAATTCTTTAATAGAGCAATCTTTAATTGCGTTGGGCAATGTTTCTCTTAAACAGGAAAATAAGCCACCCCGAGGTGAGATAACCCTCCAGTTTCTTTTCTCGTTGGGATTAGCTAAATTTATGTTTATGCGCGGAAGGAACCCTTCAAATGTCACTGTACGTGCAGCATTAAAATGTAAAATTTACGAGTAGGTATGCAAATGTACGTTAATATATATACTTATTCGCACCTGGGCGACGGCGCTGTTGTTATGGTAATGTGAGCTTCGTTTTGGGGCTTCATTCTCATTACAATAACATTTTTGCTTCATTGTTTGCAGCAGATCCAAAGACCTTGGTGGCAGAGTGACCTTGAATCTGCGTGTAATTCAAACCGTATAATCAGACTGATTAGGCCAAATAACAAAGAGCTTAACACCTTCTCGTCGGAGAGAAGCAATAACTCAGGCAAAGAAAATCAGGACAACCTTGTGATGTCCTCAGTTTTTGATGGCTTAATTTTTCGGCCAAACCCATAAAGTAGGCAGTTGTGCCTTGCGGATTTCCTTGACTAATTTCAAGAAGGTGGAAAAGGCTGAACACTTGCGGAAAATTTCCACCAACTTGGCCACTCTCCAAAAGCACAAGGGTACACGGATTCTGTTGCTGAGAGGAAGGAAGTCGGTTCCTTTTTGCCTTATTTGGTTATTCGGTGACAGACTTCTGACAATTTCGTTGACTAGGTCAGGCTCTCTCCCTTTTAGCATAGGAATGAATGTGTGTTGTCTTCACTTTTGGTTTCGGTGGGCGGAATTGCGATTGCGCAAAGAGAGAGGGAGATTGAGAGAGTTATTGAGGTCCTGGCAACATTTTGTTGGCAAAGTTTTATCACAGTTTTATTGTAATTGTTTAGAAACAAAATTGTGATAAAAAGTTTTTTAACAAATATAATATTTTTCGCCGCTTAAAAACTAGGTAATAACCTATTTTTCTGACATGGTTTTTTTTTCAAAAATTTCCGTAGATAGATTTTCAAAACTACCATTCTATATCAATTCCAATAAAAACCTTAGTTTTGAAATTGTTAATTTGAGATTTAAAATATAGTAGTAATTTTTCAAAATAATTGTAATTCGTTTCAAAATATTTCTTTCAAAATTTCTTTGATTTATTCCAACAGTTTGCTAGTTAGAGTTGCAAGGTGTTTTCCTTGCAACATAAATCCAGTGGATGTAAAACTTTATGAGCAATGATGCTGCGATACCGATACCGCCCACGCAAAAAGAGCAAGAAGGATGGAAAAAAGAGGGAAAGGGATGGCTAGCTGAGAGCACCATCTCGCAGTTGCGCTCCTTGACCTTGGGCACGAACGCACTCATAGACCCCCCGATTTCATCCGCTCCCCTAAAAACGGCTTTACCCTTCGGCGCTGCGAAATCCGACCAGAAATTCCGATTCAGTCGCTCACTTCCAGCAGCCACAAGTTGTGGCCACGCGGATGAAATAAAAACTGAGTGAAAACAGTGAGGATTGAAAAGTGCTTTCATGGTGAACGGCGAAGATCCCCCGCAATGTCAGCTAGTCCCACCGATTTGGATCTGGATCTGCAGTATGTAAAAGGATACAAAAAAGAAAATATGAAAAAATTACAATCCCATCTGGCTGTCAATTAAAAGAACGCAAAAGTAAACAGCAAATAAATCAACAACAGCACAAGTCAGTTTTTTTTGCTCTTTCTTGGGCTCAGAATCTCTGAATCAGCAATTGCTGCGTCACCATCATCGTTATGGCAACGCTCTTATCGGAACTTTTACTGACCCCCACCTATTGATTTCCATCGATTTCCATCTATCATACACAGATTGATTGATAAGAAGGTGGGGACATTTTCATGAGCCCCTCGAATGGGCCTCGGGTTCAAAGTTCGCATTTGTCAAATGGAGCGAAAATAGGGACTGTATAAACAAGCGTGCCGTTTGAAGAGCCCAATCAAATAGAAGGAGATGAGATTAAATGGGCCTAGGAAAAACAATGGTCTGGGATGGAACTAGACTCCCCTGGGGCGGTGGATAATTTATTGGTATTTAGGAACCTCACTTAATAGCTTTGGGATTGAATTTCAAATTAATGAATAAATATTAAGCGCAAATAGTGGATAATAACTCAGGTAGTTTATAGACCAAATTAGTCTTCAGTTCTCTTAAACCCATTCTGAAGGTATTGAAAGATGTCGGTAGAAAAGGTATTAATTTAAATTGATTTGACATATCAATTACATAGGACCTAAATCCTTTTTATTTTTTTGTCTTGTCTATGTAATCAATTTAATATATTTCACACATCCGAACGAGCTCTTGAAAATATATACAAGTATAGCCAACACTTGCTAATTTATTTTCTTATCAGCCTCACGCCCGCCTCGCAATACTTGTCCATCATTTCGCAAAAATTGAAGTGGGTAAAAAAATGCTCATTAAATTTTCCTCAACCAAATGTTATCAGAAATATTTATGTTCGCCTTTCCCATTTGAAATACTTAAGCTTTAGCTTCTATACACAAGATACATTCATCTGCTGCCCCATAAACAAGTAAATATATAAATTCCCCGCGTTTTCAATTAAGATTCAACATCAAATTGCTAGAAGCATAAACATAAAATTTAAATCAATACGGCTGTAGGGGGAATGAGTGTGTTAATAATTTAATTTATTAAGAAATAAATCTGCATGCAAAAATTTTTTTAAAATCCTTTTCCATTTTCATGTCAATTTAAGTTTTTAAGCCTAAACTTTGGCATTTTCACACTTTGAGACGACCTTCAAGTGGCCCGAAACGCCCCCGATTCGCGTTTTGTCCAAAGCCGAAGCAGCCTGGTCATTAAATTTGATGACAGATCCATTCAGTCGGTGGCAAATAAAGTGCGGTAATACTCCGGAGGTTGTGCACCGTGTGGTGTGCGATGAGCATGCACTTTTGTTCAGTTGTTTGCTTTTCTTTCTCGGGTTGTGTGAGCTTTCCGGTCAGGGGCACTTTCCTTTTCAATTTGTCCAGCTCTTTAGCTTGGCCATTATGCCACTTGGCCGTTTTGCAATGACGCTTGCTGACCAGCCCGCCATTGGGAATTGTGCTGAAGTGTCGGTAACAAGTGGGTGCACAGGGCAAAAACATCAATGAAATTTTATTAGTATTTATATTTCTTTCTGTCACATTAAAAATTATAATATACATTTTCGTTCCATAATATTTTTAAAAATCCTTAATTTACCTAACATATTATTTTCATATTTTCTTAAACACTTAAAATTGATATTTTTCGAATTATAAAAACTTTTTTTTAAGTTTTAATGAAATACGAATTTTGAAAATTGATCTGTAAATATTTTTCCATCTAAAGAAAGGATTGTAAAATTTTATATTACATAAAAAATATTTTGAAATTCCGAATTTTTCAACGCGGATTTATTATTAAGCTAAATAATATTTATAAAATTATTACTTCAAGTGTAAATGTTGCATATAATTGAAAGTTTAATAGGTTTAAATTACTGTAATTTTTTATAATTTACAATATCATATCAAATTTTTTGAAAAAAAGCTAATTTACTCTCCTCTTCTTTTTTGACGTGTAGTTAATGCCTTAAACAAAGTCGAGAATCTCGCAGCTCGTTTGGAGTTGAGTTTGCACTAAAGTTAGAGCCATAAGTCGGCTTCCTGGCCCATTGTCTGTGCCTCTTCGTAATTAAGTTGGCAAATTTGTGTAATGAGCGAGTGCAATTATACAGGCTGCTCCGTGTTAGGGCCTATGCAAATGCCACACATAATTATAGTTTGTGGCCGCTGCTTTTTTTTACTTTGGGCTGTTTTGGTTTTGGCTTTGTTTTCCTTTGCTTTTCGTTTTCATTTTCGTTTTCCCTGCAGTGTTTGGCCACTTTGCCAAGTGAGCTGAGTGGTGAGTGTGTGCTCATCTGCGAAATGCAAATGAAAGTCAAAGTTAATTTGTTAGATTTTCACGTTGAGATACAAGCCTGCGAGTCCGCCGGCAAAAACTGCGTGACGGTGATGAGTTACTTTTGCGGCTACGGTTAGGAAAAAAATTAAGATAAAACTGCCAGACCACGTCTCAATTTTCCGTCTGCGTCGAGTCTCGTCGCGGTGGAAAAACGCTGGAAAAACTCTCGACGCACAGTGGCGCCTTGGGCCAAAAAACGTGCAATAAATCACTTTTTCGACTTTGTCCTAGAAAGTTGTGACCCATACCAATCGACAGGTAATTGATCCACTATTACAAATATGTAACCCTTTTTCAAATCAAAAAATTTTTGTAAAAGATATGAATTTTCAAAGTTGAACAATTTTTCACTTAAAAAAAACACACCGTTTTTAGGTAATTTTTCGCACTTCCGGGGGGTTTTTCTTAAAAACTAGGTATCGAATCGCTTTGCTTCTTTTTTCCACGGATTGGTGTGTTAGTTAAGAGTAAAAAAAGTAAAACATATTGCAGTTTGCCATGCGCATCTCTTAGTTATGAGTTATTTGCGAAACGTCCATTTTTTCCATATTTTTCAACTTTGATGGAAAATAAAAAAAAACTATTTAATACTATTTTTTTTATACTTCCGTAAAACGTTATTTGGACTTTCTTCTTGATATTACGAAAGTTGTAGCTGCGTCCGCCTGCGTCCGCGGTTTTAAGAGCCAAAAAAGGGAAAAAAGTCATGGTCCCAGAAATTGCATATGGCGCAACCTTGTGAAAGATTTGTCCAAAACATGGTTTTAAAGTCCTGAAAATTTTATATGATGTTCAACAGCTCGATATAAGAAATTTTAGTTCTACCACTTTCGGAAAAACTCGCTAGTTTAGCGGGAAAACAGCTATAAATAGCTAAAATACGGAAGGCCGTAACTTCTAAACTACAGAAGCAACAGACTTGTGCTGTATCTCGTTTGAAAGGTTTTTAAAAAAGCTTTAAGCGCCTCCTAAATGTAGTTTGTGTAAATGTAATATTGAAAAAGATATGCACAAAACAATTTTTTTTAAAATTTTTTTGTTTAGTTTTTTTTATTTTTCTCGAAAACAGCTCTAACGATTTTCTTTAAAACTTTAAACTGTATAGCCCTTGAGATTCCTTAAATTTTGGTATATATCATGTTACTGTAAAAAATCACGTTTAAATGTTATTCAGAAACGAAAATAGCCACTTTTGCCAGCTCAAAACAACTTACGCTGCCTAAGCATTGAATTTAGTATGTGCGAATCCAAACTGTATTCTAGGGTCATGGAATCACAACCTTGTCACAGAGTTAGAATCTAGTAATTATAGTCCAGAAATGTTAAGTCTATTGGATTTACCAAGTTTACCAAATTGTGACCATTATTTCAAAAAACATGAAATATAAAAATTTTTATTTTTAAAAAAAAACTTTAATTTTTTTTTTTTTGTTTTTTTAGTTTTTAAAAATTAAAACATAAAAAAATAAACTAAACAAAACGTAATTTTAAAAAAAAAAAAATTTTTTTTTTAAAAATTCCAATTTTTTATTTATTTTTTTTTAATAAGTTTTAAAAATTACAACATGAAAAAAGAAACTAAAAAAAAACAAAAACTTTTTAAAAAAAGTTTTTTTTTGTCGGAAAAAAATAGATTTGTTTTTAAATTCTGACTTTGCCGATTTGTAAGTACGCCTCTGCCACGCCCACTCCCTGTCTCAAGCAATAATTTGAAAGGTGGATCAATTATCTATCATTTGCCGTTTACAAAATTCAATTATCTTCACTGGTTCAAAAGTTATGATTTATTACCAAAAAAAAGTCAAAAGGCGCCACTGTGCGACGGCGCAAAATCAAAGGTGGCATTTTCATTGCGGCTTGCATGCCTCGAAAATGCGGCATACTTTCGGGCTGTGGAAATTTAATTGGATAACTAATGTCTGCTCTTCAGACTGCTGGGAAATTTCTAACTTCAACTAAGTTTTAAATAATATAGCAAAAAAATAATTAAAGTTCTCTTAGGAGATTATTTTCATTTCTTTCATATTATTTGTATCATCTTTATAGGAAAAATGCAGTATCTTTTAAAATAATGCCCAATGAATTTTAAATTATTTTATTAAAGCCGTTAACAAGATTGATGAACCAAAATATTATATTCGCAATCATGAAAATAAAATATTTTTTTCAATATGTGTCAGTGCTGGATTTTATGAAAAAGGGATAATTTATAGAAATTTACTTATAAAACCTACAAATTTTGGTCAAATTTTTAAAATTGTGTAAACTGTTTGATTTTTATAAAATGCATTAACTTTGAGTGTAGCAATCGCACAAAAAACTTGACTCATAAACTATAGTATTTAGCGTACTAATTCCCCCTACATGTCCAGCTCAATTGGCAGCTTAAATGAATTTCGCCTTGGCATTCCCCCAAGTTCAATGCCAAAATCTAACTTAGTGGACTGTTCTCCTGACCATTCCTCCCCTATATTTTATGTGTATATCATCTATAGACCCCCCAGAGCAGTCATTCCGTTTAATTAACCAACGCTCAAAACGAAATGAACATTTTCCAGCTGTGTTGGCTGTGCTGCTCATTTGTCTGCTCCAATCAGCATCATCGTCATCGTCATCGCGGTTTTTATCATCATTACGGGGCTCTTCATCGTTTCATCAACTGCACCCATGCACCCACGAGTGTCGACTCGACTCCGTGGCTGCAGTTTCCATTTCAATGCGCAAAAAACGCTTAAACTGCAATTTGCGCTCGTTCCTAAGCGGGGAATGAGGGGGAAAAGTACCAAAAGGGGGGTGTTCTCCCCACTAATTAGCACATCAAATTCTCTGTGCACACGAAACACGTACACATTGCCTAGTGGGTGGGGTTTGTTGCCTTAAAGGGGTCAAATGTCAGCTGAACGCGTTATTTGGACAGCCCACCTAACTGGGTTAACTCACTGGCTCTTTGGAGCGTTAATCCTCGCCCTCAGCCGCATTAATTACATATTACTCGCGCAATAAAATAAAAGTAAACTGCCTAAAAGTATGCAGCTGAAAAGTGCAGTAAGTCCCAGTTCAAGAAGTCATTTAATTTCCTAACAAATTTATGCTCTTCGTAGCGATCATCTATAAGCTTCTTTTCAAGTTGAAAAAAAAACAAGAAAGGAAGCTAGCCAGCATAAGCGTGCAGATCATTCCTATTAAATTAAAAATTTTAAAATGTTAAACTACGTATTATTTTGACTTTAATTTTTCTATTCTCCTATGACAGCTTTTTAAATTCTGAAATATTAAACTAAAGGGCATATTCCAGACTAGACGAGAGTATTCCGATTTCGATAAAATTAAATTCGTAATTAGGAATTTAAAAAAAAGTATTATTATCAAGCGTTGGAAATTGTAAGTCAAAAAACATCGAAGGTATAATTTTTTTTGATTATTCCACGGAAAAAACATGGCTAGATCGATTCTTGTGAGTAATTTTATTTATGTTTATATTTAAATCAAAGTTCAAGATGTCGTAAAATTCAAGTCTATTAAATTTCTTCTTGTTCATCCAAAAATCTTTGACAGTTAGGTATTTTTAATATTTCCTTCTTACTTACATCACTTGTAAATCATCTTCCCGGTTAAAGAACTTTGCCTTGCCCACTCAATTCGGCCTGCCTGATGTAATATAAATCTCACAATGTCTGTGAGTGTTCGGCATCCCCGAACTTGGCATGAATCATCCGTTTGCTAACCCATTACTCACGGCCCATTCTTACGGCGCCAAAACAAAGACGAAATAAAGCCAAAGACAGCAAACAGCAGACCATGAGCCAAAGGCATATGCACATCCACAACGTCTGCGGGCCACAGAGTTCAGATAAAGGGGCAAATTCCTAGTTGAAAATAGCTTTCCTTGAAATGCCTTTGGACCAGCCGCGTATTCGATATCCCAGCGATTCGAGAGAATCCACTGAACAAATGGAAAATGCATTCTGCTCTTGCCGGGCCATGACATTTATTTATTGGATGACTCGGGTGATCGAGTGGGTTGACTGAACTGACAGTGGGATGGGCCAAACAACAGTAATTTTTGGCACTTATGTATGTTCCTGTGATTCACTATTACTCCCTAATACTTGAAACATATTTGAATTTACAATTTTAAGATCATGAAAAATAATAATAATGTTTTGTATCTAATGTATATTACTGAATAATTGTGTAGCTTTTGAAAAAATAATTATTCAGTTTGTTTTGAAAATAAGTATCTTGGCTTCTTCCTAAAAAGTGTGTAACCTATTTTTATTAGTTTCAAACCGGATTGGTTATCATTTTTGTAGCCGTCTTTCGTTGACAACCAATTACTTAAATTGCGAAAAATATGTTTATCTATAATTAAAAAGTCAAGACATTAAATTACGCAGCCTTAAATAAGTAGTGGTTTTAATAGTCCATAGAAAATTAAATGCCACGAATTAAGGACTCTTCAACCCAATTGCCCTGTCACTCTGTCATTTTGCAGACCGAGTTTTCCCGCCAGGTTGCGATGGCTTTTATCGCGAATGCAATATGACGTTTAATTTCCCCCAGAACACCGCCATAATGGGGATCCATTAGCGCGGTGTCGCAGGATGTCAGGGCAAGTGAGTGATGGGTTCTCTTCGTAGAAACTGAAGAATCTATGGCGGAAAAGTCCGTACTCCCACCGCAGAGGAGAGATATTTCCATTGCACTAACACCGCATATTTGCAGATGGCAATTACAAATAGCTTTCCCCCTCTTTTCGCCCCCAAACAGAATGTCTTCCGGCCTGATGTCGTGTGTGAGGGAAAACTCGCCGCCGCTGGAATCGGAGTTGGATGCCAGTTGTGCCGGGGGACCATTGTCATTGCCGGAGGGCCACGCCCACGCCCACGCCGTCACCTCCACGCCAATCTCCAGTCCAGGAAACGATGCCCACCAATCCCCGACCGCCGGTGAGTTACCTAATTGCTCTCATAATACCATAATACCCACATACGAACTAAGCAAACAAACAAACAAATACGTGTAGATCCCGTATTCCTGCCAAGGAATTTCTCGTTAGGCTGCAATATTAAATCATTCAAGTGCGGAATGCGGGATTATGAAATTGCCTTGGGCCCATGGCTCTCGTTCTCCGGGAATCGCTTTCAATATTGAAGATTTTCCCTTCACGTGTTCATCATTTCGAGGAAATCCCCCAGGACACGGGTTGCGAAAAAGGTTCGCTGATTGCCAAAGGCTTGGCCTTTGGTTTGATTGCCATCCCCAAAGGTTGTCGGCAGTTTGGCTGGAGTTAACCTTGGCTCTACTAATGCTTTATGGACTTTGAATATCCGTGCTTGGATAGAATTTACCTGAAGGGGTATAAATTTATATTTATTTTTGCTTAAAATAAATTTAACGAAAGTGATATAACGAGTGATGACTATAGAAAAAGTGATACCCTTGGCTAAAAATATCTGCAGATTGGATTACATCACTTGCCAGAGTAATGCCATCGATCATATGGAACGCGGTAGTCGCTCCGGTCTTCCTCGTTAAACTAAGTGAACCAGCTTTGTTTTTTCAGCGGTCTTGCAGAGTTCAGAGCTGTGAACCCTCCGCAGATATGGTTAGTTAGGAAAGTGTGCAAAAGACCCAACAAAGCCGCACTATTGTACACACCCTACATGGGGTTAGGGTTTATCCGACTTAGGCAGATAGTTGGGGAAACGTAAATAGAGAGATGTAAGAGTTCGTTAGATTGTTTCGTATGTGCATAATTAGTGGGATGTTTTGGCTTTCGGTTTGTTGACGCCACCTCCCCCAGATTCAAATACAGATGCACATACAATGAGCGAGAGATAAAAGTGGCCATAATACATATTCAGATTGGGCCACATCCACATGGCTGTACCATATGTATTATAGCTTAGTTCACATGAGAACCGGCCTTTGTCTATTTGTTTTCGTTGGGCTCGCCCTCATATGGCCACCGACAACAACTGAATAACTGGATAATGTTTATATAATTGTGGGCAATACCATGTAGCTACACGTGCTAATTAACGCCCCCGACTTTCTACGGTTAATGCAAATCCGCATCGAAAATCGACCACAAAGGTTCTGGCTTGGCTTCGTAATGGGAATAGGAAGCTTTATCCATTTCGGGGCCGCGAACTGTGGTCGCTATGACGACACCCACAAAGAAATGCCATCAACAATAACGGACCATGTACATACAACTAAGTTTCAACATGAATAAATGTAACATAAACAGGTTCGTGTCGGATCGGTGGACAGTGGGTGAAATCGCATGGAAAGTATTATCTTTGAGAACTTAGCCTACTTTTTAATCATTTAATTTATTTTTTTAAAAAACTTAAATTTATTCTTCCTTATGATTTCTATAAAAATTGTCTATTGCTGAAGAACAGGAACTAAAAGTTTATCACAAGGAAAGTTGGGTTCGAATGGATCAAAGATTATATTATGCACTTCTACCTACTTTTAAAATTGTATTGGCAAACCAAATTAATTTAATAAGGTCCTTATTATGATAATGTTAATACTATGATAGGAACTTTTGGAAAGCTTAAGTCGTTCAGTGTTTGCTAGAAACATATGGTTAGTTAATTATTTGTACATCAAATAGTCTTAATGGCCCACTGTCTCTGTTGTTAACAGCGCTCTGTTAGCTGCTCAGACGCCTGGCAGACACCTGCAGTGGGCCAAGAAACGCTAATCAGTCCGAATTGGCAACACAACCTGGCCAATAAGCCCAATCCCGCTGTCGATGACTCGATTCGATTCATTTTAGCCGAGTTCAGTTGAGTACGGCTGGTTCGGTCTTTTCCGTTTTGTGGGGTCTGTTCGGCCTTTTCGCTTCGTTTCGTTTTCGTAGATTTCAATTTCAGTTCCCGAGAGTGAGTATTTTTTTGTGTGTGTTGCGCTGGGGGTCTGTTTTTTCGATTTCCACGGCGGTCTTTCGCGTTGTCCCATTGATTCAATTCATTCTGTGCGCTCCGCTCCACCTGAACAGGTGAGCAATTTCGCTGTCGAACGCGCCGGTTATTGCACTAATTGAATTGTCTTCGCTGTGGCTGATTGCAATTGCAATATTCAATCGAATCCGTAATCCCGATTCGCAATTCGCAATCCGTGTGCGATCAACCCGAATCCCATAAGATACAAAGCAGTAAAAGTCAACAAAGTTTAATCAATAATATCGGAAAACATACCCCATTCGAGTCATCGAACTAAGTGCAAAGTTGTGTGTGCTATGAAGTGAGGTGAAGTTAAAGTAAGGCAGATACATGTACTTACAGATATACATATATGCCACATTGTGTCTTCTAACTGAAACACGCTTGTTTACAACGCGCAACAATCAGTAAAGTAAACAATTCGGTTGAATAAAACATCTGCCGCTATTTTTGGCGTTATGATACATATTTAAACAGGTAATAAAATGTATTGTATTTTTATACCCGTTACTCGTAGAGTAAAAGGGTATATTAGATTCGTGCAAAAGTATGTAACAGGTAGAAGGAAGCGTTTCCGACCCTATAAACTAGACATCTGCATGAATAACAAAAAATACATATTCGAATTGACAATGTTCAAAATGAGTTGAATGAGTTGGAATGTGTAGGGAAACTGGCTTGAATAAATAAGTGTACTGACGTAAAACTCAGTCGAACCAGAAATGGTGATGGAAAACGAATCGAGTAAATGAGTACACGAACAACTCAGACGAATTTATTCGAATCCATTCGACTTCTTACATGACGTCATAAGGGCAAAATGGAAAATTAAATTTGTTTTGAAATACTTACATAAATATTTGGTTTTTTGTCTTTTTATACCCTTGCAGAGGGTATTATGATTTCAGTCAGAAGTTTGCAACGCAGTGAAGGAGACGTTTCCGACCCCATAAAGTATATATATTCTTGATCAGCATCACTAGACGAGTCGATCTAGCCATGTCCGTCTGTCCGTCTGTCCGTCTGACCGTCTGTCCGTCTGTCTGTTTCTACGCAAACTAGTCTCTCAGTTTTTGAGCTATCGGGATGAAACTTTCCCAAAAGTCTTCTTTCTATTGCAGGTAGTATATATGTCGGAACCGACCGGATCGGACAACTATATCTTATAGCTCCCATAGGAAGGATCGGAAAAGAAAACGTTAAAAAAATTCTAGCTTCGGTGTTTTTTGAAATATCACCTTCTACTTTTGGGGATGTTATTTTTTAAATATTTCTGAATTTCGAATTAATTATTTAAAAAATCGGACTACTATATCATATAGCTGCCATAGGAACGATCGGGAAATTAATGGAAAAGTAATAGGAAATAAATTCTAGCTTGTTTCGTTTTTATTGTATTATCTTCTACTCTAGGATATGACTCTTTTTAAATATTTCCGAATTTCAATTTTTATTTGATCAAAATCGGACGACTATATCATATAGCTGCCATAGGAACGATCGGAAAATTAATGAGATTAATGAAATTAATTGAACATTTTTGCGATTTGTTAATTAATAGGAATGATCTGCAAGGGTATTTAAGCTTCGGCTGGCCGAAGCTAGCTTCCTTTCTTGTTTTAAATTACAAATCTACCTTTAGTTTTAGCTCGCCACTGAATCCAACCATGCCATTTTCATATTTAAATCCTAAGAATTCGCGGACCAAGGAGGAGAAGTATAAAATAGTGTAGTGAAGAGGCAGAATGGAATGGTCTTCCTTGGACCGCAACTTCTTAAGAATTTATCTAACAAACTCCAGGATGACAATACTAAGAAGTCGCGGTCCAAGGAAGACCATTCCTTTCTTTATCTGTGGCGATAGAGGCGGATCTTTTGGTTCTGGGATATGTTCATAAAACTAATTGATTTTCCATATTTTTTTTTAATTCTCGTGGATTTTTGCATGTGTTTTGAGTTTAAACTAAGGGGAGCTTGGTAATTTCGAAAATAAGAAATCACAAAAATACTTATTTATTGACATACATATATGTATATCAAAACAAATTTAATTTTCTATTTTGCCCTTATGACGTCATATAAGAAAATCGAATGGATTCGAATAACTCGAATGATTTCAGCCTATTCAAATATGACATTCTGTTTTTCGTTATCACTCGTTTAACTCTAGGCCTTTTCTGTCATACTCTATACGGACCAAGATGAGATCCATTCTAGTCATAGTGTGCTGAGCATTTACTCAACTCTATTCTATTCGAATGGAATCATTTCAAAGCCTGTTTGATTCCAGTCATGCAGATGTCTACTATAAACTATATATATTCTTGATCAGGATCACTAGCCGAGTCGATCTAGCCATGTCCGTCTGTCCGTCTGTCCGTCTGTCTGTCCGTCTGTCCGTCTGTCTGTCTGTATGAACGCTGAGATCTCGGAAACTATAAAAGCTAGAAGATTGACATTTTGCATGCAGATTCTAGAAGTTCCTACGCAGCGCAAGTTTGTTTCAAAAGGGTGCCACGCCCCCTCTAACGCCCACAATCGCTTATATACGATTTTAAAAATTTCAATATTTTGGAAAAGTAAAAATGCAGTTTTATTGTGTTTATCAATACCTATCGAAATGTAGAAGAAATTTTTTAAATCGGACCATTCGTTAAAAAGTTTCGGCGGATCAAAGTTTTTTCTTTTTAGCTGAGTAACGGGTATCTGATAGTCGGGGCACCCGACTATAGCGTTCTCTCTTGTTTGGACTAGAACGAAGAGGAATTTTTGGAAAATTCGTAGGCTATTTAACCCCATTTTTGTTTCGACTTTGTATTTAAATTATTTTTGACTAACAATGCTTGTCTAGAATTGTAAAGCCCAATTAAAACGGGCAAATGAGCACAGAGTTTAAACCTATCCACATTCGCCTCATAAAATCATGGGCCATTATATAAGTTGACATGAGTTTGGGGCTTATCAAGCGATGATGATGAGTTGTTTGG